ATTGTTCTCAACAGCTTGGCAAAGTTTGCTTAAAACGGGATCACGACATGTTGCAATAGAAATATCTTTAAAATTGATTTTTAAAACATTGTCATTTTCAATCACATTTACATAACTTGCTTCTAGCGTATCGTTAAAGGGTGCGAGTTGGGGTATTCGGGATAAATTATCAACTTCGTTGTCAACGCCTTTAACGAATTCTATTTTGTAATTAAATCCACTCAAAATTAGTGCCCAACGTTGAACGAGAGCTGCGGCCATTAAGGGGAGTCTTTTGTTTTCGCCTAACAGTGCCAAAAGAGGCTTGTGATCAGTTAAAAGTGTAAAAGAATTTTCGAGTAAATATTGTTTCAACTTTACAACTGCGAATATAATTACTAATGCTTCTTTTTCGATAACTGGATAATTTATTTCACTTTTTCTTAAAGATCTCGATACGAAAGCTATTGGTTTTATTTGACCATCTGGATCTTTATGGGATAAAATTCCAACCACCGAAACATTGCAAGCATCAGCCCAGCATAAAATCGGTAATCACTTTTAGTGGCAACGTGTTCTAGAAGGCATAGCGTTATAATGCCTTCGAATTTTTTCGCTTCTTTTAGGCATTGCCGGAACTGCAAAGAAGAATGTCCAACAATATTTAATTTATTTCGCTACTTTGCTTCATTTCGGGGAATGCAAAGTATTATAATTATTTTTAATTCGCTTCTTTGCTTCATTTCAGGGAATGCAAAGCAGAATGCTGCATCATAGTTAGCTGAAAAATAGAATGAATATCCAAAAATTCTTTTTCTACCGTTACTTTCTGTGGAAATTTGTCTCGCATAAAAATCATGTTTTGCTTTGTTCAATTTGCAGCGAAGTTGAAGTCAGTCAATGAAGTGAAGTACAAGAGTGAAAAAGTACAATTTTAAGCTTAATTAAATATGCATGTATGTAAATACCGGTTTTTAAGTAAAATCTAATTACCTAAATACATACATATGAATGTATAAAAACTGATTTATAAAAATTGTAATTAATATTAAACCTTTAAGACATTTTCTGTTTTCAATTTAAT